TCCTTATCGAACTCCACGTGGTTTGAACCAAGCAAGAACTGAGCCAAGCCAATGACAGGAACGTGTTTTCAATCATAGATCTTATTCTTGGCATAAATGCTGTAAAACGCAGTGTTTTCAGCATTTGCTCAGATCGTGTTGCCCTGGATCGAAGATCGAGTATACAAGATTCCACAAATATATGTTAGAACATCGTCAATCCTGGTCCCCTAAACACTTGACAGTGTGTTCTAGACTCATTAAGGTTTTGCCCCCTGCATTGAAGATTGAAGATCTACCGTATTTTCTATTTGAGAATCTTCCATCCTGGCCTGCCCTCAAGTCCACAAAACACCTGTAAAGATGTCAACAACATTTTTCCACCCTGGCCAAATGCAGGCAGCGCAAGTGCACATCCACAATTTGATTCTGACAGCGTGCACTCCCGGTCTGCCTTTCGGATTCTTCAAACCCGCACTTAGGGCAATCCAGGATCTAAAGATTGAAGATTCTCTGACAACTCTTTCTGAAATTCTCCAAATATGTACTTAGGGCAATCCAGGATGTGCTAGCACGTGCTAGCACATCCTGGATTGAAGATTGAAGATTCTCAGACCACTTGTTCTGGAAATCTTCAATCTATCCTTAGGACAAACAAATATGTGCTAGCACGTGCTAGCACATCCTGGATTGAAGCTTGAAGATTGAAGATTCTCAGACCACTTGTTCTGGACATCTTCAATCTATCCTTAGGACAAACAAATATGTGCTAGCACGTGCTAGCTCATCCTGGATTGAAGATTGAAGATTGAAGAATCCCAGAGAGAGTTGTCAGAGAATTTCAATCTTCAATCCAGGATGTGCTAGCACGTGCTAGCACATATCAGTTTGTCCTAAGGATGGATTGAAGATTTCCAATCTTCAATCCAGGATGTGCTAGCACGTGCTAGAACATCCTGGATTGACCAAAGTACCAATGCTGGTACTTAAGTCTAAAAAGGAGTGCATTTGTTGGAGGTCATTTTAGAAGCTGGAACGTGTGTTTTGCATGCATTTTTACAGCCAAAATGTCAATCTCTGGCCAAAAACCTGAGTATTCCAGGGGGGGGGGTGCCATATATATATATATATATATACATATGTACATTGCAAGTAGGGGTGCTTCAAAATGAAGTGTTCTCATTGCGTTCATCTCTCCAAGGCGGAGACTGGCCTAACAGCAAAGGGTGCCAAGAGCTGTCTTGGGAACACGCGTGAGATGTCATGGGATGGCCAGTGGCTCGCCAAGCCCTAGTGGCAAGGTGGGAACCACCTGTTGAAAGAGATTCGGCCTTTTGCGAACACATGAAAAACCGGAAAAATGGGACGAGTTGTGAAATATTGATCAAAGTTGTGAACATGTGGGCCGGGAAGGCTGAGAAATTATGGGACAATATTGCGAGATAGGCAGCAATTAGGATGTCGGGAAAGTGGCAATCTTAGCGGAGCAGCCACGCAAAGTGTGGGGACAGAGTGTGAACTTATGAACGGCAAAACTGTGGATCAATGTTGGGAGTGAATAATCAAAAGCAGGGAGTGTGCTGGGCACTACAAGGGAGACCGCTGCAAGTCATGTGGGTAGTGGAAGCTTACATGTGAGGACTGTGAGCAAGGGAGCCAGAGCACCGAGAAAGAAGTGAATGGAAACACAATAACTGGCCAGGGGGCATGGCTAACAGTGAGGGCTGGGGTGGGATGGTTGTGCTTTTTGTCTATGCTTTTCTTTGTCTTCTTCAGTGTGTTTTCAGCTTTCAGTGGGGGTTCCTCGTCTGCCATTTTTGAACAGGGTCCGTTTCATCCAATCCGTTTGTTCTTGTGCAGCTCAACTTGCTATGGTTCTCACCGTTACATCACACATGTGGTTTGTCTCATGAAGTGTGCCGGCTTCCCCTGGTTGACTCAACAGGGAGTGTCCCGTTGGGGAGAGGGGCACCTTGTCGTTTTGGGGAGCCACCCCAACTGGAGGTGGATTTACCCCTCCTGAGGATTTGTTGGAGAGGTGTTGGAGGACTGCAACACCTGCAACGCGACCTTGACGATCTCAGGCTCGCCCATGGCAAGCAAAGTAAATGGCTTTAGGTACGCGTCACAATGGGTGGCATCCCTCTTGTTGAGACAACTGATATAAGATGCGTGCCGGAATTCTTTGGCTAGCGGCTGGCTAATATGAATATGATAGCACCGAAGCTTCATGTATCACTTGTGGGAAGGCTCGGAATCAGTGCTGTTTCCAGCTGAGCTTCGCTGTGGTGAAAGCTGACTTGCTTCCTTTTGGTGGGCCACGTGTGCCCAGGTTTGCCCATAGTCACAACAGGTAAATGATGGGACTGTGGGTTCGACCCTTCAATCCGTCAAGCCAGTCGGTGGGGTGTGCGGTGGGGTGTGCCTTTGGTTCTCCGTGCCAGGCTGCTTGCCAACCGTGCCCTGCAGCGTGACCAGCGAAGCTCGGTGCATGCTTGCCCCTTGGCCGCCATACCACATTGCCCATGTTTTTTTTCATGGTGTTTCAGCCCCCCCCCTGGCAAAGAGGGGCCCCTCCCAAAGAAGCCACCCCTTTTTGCGGGGCTCCTTGACAACCACAGGACACACCAACAATCATGGAAGTGGCCACATGTCTCCCCCACCACGAAAGTCGTTTGGCAGAGGCCTTTGATCATCAGCTTTCATGATTATTGGAGCGAGAATGCTGTTGTGCGCGTTTGTGACATCCTTTGAAAGGAAAGAGCTGGGTCACCGGGTCCGAAATTTGAGCTCTTTTTTGTGGGACATACTTCAGAAGGAAGGTTTTGAGATCAGCTGTTCTTCGAAACTCTCAGAAGTTGTTGTGTTCGAGAGCCCTCTCAGACCTCCCCCACAGACCTGCACGCCATGCTTGGCCAAATAAAGAACCTGCCTAAACAAGCGCCCCACAGGCGTGTCCTGCGGAACTTAAACAAAAGTGTCCAATCCCCAATGCGGTCGTTGCAAATCTCTTGACACCCTGTACCCAACTCAAAGGTGTGAAGACATGGATAGTTTTGATATGTGCACGGCCCTTTCTTGCTTTACTTTTGGAGATCAGAAATTGTAGCTTGCAGCCCCTGATCTCCAGGCCAGAGCGCACGGCCCTTTCTTGTTCTTTGCTTCCTGAAACTTTCAAAGGCCTTCGGAGGATCCCAGCCCCTGAAGGAAGGTGTACCCCTGCAAAGGGACTCCTTCCATTCCTTTGAGGGTCGGAGAATCATTCACGGCGGCGGCACGTTTTCGTCCGTTCGAACCCCTCCCCCCCCCCCCCCCAGTGATATAATGGATGGCCTCCAGACTGACGGGGCGGCCGTTACCATGTGCTCTGTGGGTTTCTTCCCAGTCTTTCTTGTTTTTAACCAGGCCTCAGTTAACTGTTTCTCAGCACAGTGATGCCCTAAAACTGGGCAGCCTTCCACTTCCCAGCCTTGGGTCCAAGTCCCATTTGGGAGAACCCCACCCCACCTCACCCCACCCACCCCAGCCCACCCCACCCACCCCAGCCCACCCCACCCACCCCAGCCCACCCCACCCCGCCCCGACCCCACCTGCCACAGGACGTCTCCAACTGCAGCTCGCTGGGCCCGGGGGAGCTCTGCGAGATCCAGTGCCAAGCGCCGTACGCCGGGGAGTCCACCTGGGGCGCCTTGAAGTGAACACGCCGTCCCCTCCAAGCGAGGGGCGGCTCGGCCTTTTTTTGGCGGTTCCCTTGGTCCCCACTTAGCTTTTTAGCTCTTTTGTTGGTTTAGTGGTAGTTTCCAGTTAACCCACTAAAAGTTAAAATGGATCGTGCGAAGGCACTCAAAGTTATTTTTTTAGCAGGGGATCTGAGGACAGCCCAGTTTTGGGCGTCCTTTGAAACCAACAGGGTACCTTAAAAACACGGCTAGAGTTTCAGGAGTCTCAAACTTGCTTTTGGAGGTGGTTTACCGTTCAGAGTCAGAGGGTCATTTTGAGGATGTCACTTTTTACGAACCCCACAACCGCCCATGCTGTCAGGACATGTAGGGCCATTTTGAAGTGCAGTGCGCAATACCGAGTCCCATTGGCGAATTTAGTACGTTCTGAAAGTGGTTGAAGGAAACTTTGTCCAGCTTGTTGATTGCAGTGCAGCCTATGTCACCATACAACCATCTTGGAAAACCAAAAGTCACAATGGGGCCCGGGCGCTCACATGACTTTTGGCCGGGCTGGGCGATGTATGTCACATCTTCACGGCCTTGCAAAAGGCTAAACACCGGTGGTGAATGGTGTGAAGGATGCGAGATCTTGGGCATCTCGCTAAATGAGTATCATGATTGACCCCGAGGTCACTGTTGCAGGTTGCCACAGTTTTCAACCTATCGACGCAATGTGTTTTCAGCAATTATAGCGAGCTCAGCAGCGGAGGGTTAAAACGAGCTCGGGCCCGTCAGAATTCGCGATCAACCTTGATGGGGAACGCCTTCAAGCATGTGCCCCCAAGTCCCAAGTAAAAGCTATTTCCAGTACAAGAATGGAATCCCCGGATAAATGAACCTCTGGATGATCAATGAGGGGGTGTTCTGTTTTGGCGAGGACATTTTGCTTTGCGGGGGAACACCTGTGTCGAGAATACTTCATTCCGGTGTTGTGTCGAGATTACTTCATTCAAGTTTTTTTGAACTGCGTCAAATACGAGGGTTTCTCAAAGTGCTGGACCCCCTTTAGGCAGCAAAGAGCCAAAGGGAAGCCAACCATTGCAGGGACCACTTTAGTTTTCGAGCCCACCCATTTTAGCACTTATTTGCCAGTCAGGGAATCCCACTGTCCATGTAACATGCACTAGCATGCAACCCATGGGCTGGGAATTTTCTCAAGAGAATCCAACTCATTCCCCACTTGTCTTTGCCCTCACCAGCCCTTAACCCTTTGAATGTCTTTTCACACCCACAAAAGCTTCTCCTTTTGCTCCCGGGTTCTCAGGTTCATGGCTCGGCTAGCAACTCGAGTGCCAAGGCATGTGCCCCTCAGACAATACGGACCCGGGCTTCGAGGTGAACTACACCGAGCCCAGCTGTCGCCTCTCGGACTCGAAGAACCTTCAGAGGGTTGAAATTGGGTGGGAAGTCCGCAACTGGTGCTTTTCAACTTGTTCTCCATGTTTTTTGATTTGTTTTCCAGATTTGTCTCTTTTGTTTGGATTGGTGTTGCAAGTTGGGTTGGTTTTCCAATTTTGGTTTTATTGTTGGGTTGGTTTCCGACTTTTGCTCAATGTGTTGGGTGATGTTCCAACTGGTGCTTCATTGTTGGGTTTGTTTTCCAACTTTGTCTCCTCCTTTGGGTTGGTTTTCCAAATGTTGCATTATGTTTGGGTTGGGTGTCCTACTTTTGCTCCGTTTTGTGGATGGCGGTTGCAGCTAAATCAAGGAACAAATCAGTGGCACCAACTTTTCTCATATGTTTTGGAGGGGGGACCCCCCTTAAGACTAGACCAAGAAAAGGGATGGGAGCTTAGGCTTCCTGTTTGGTCAGTTTGCTTGAAAATCGATTCGTTCTGTTGATTTCATTGTGGAGTTCCAAAGGACTCCTAGGGCTGCACATCGTTCTGTCTCGAAGGCGAAACTGCCCTGCAGGTCAACATGGAAGCCAAGAAAGCATGAGTTTTTAGATGAATCTCCGTTTGGAGGGCCCTTTGTTAGAGTTCGACGTTGATTCGCAGGGGATAATCTCTTAATGGGGAACCCGGTGGTCTCCCTTTACAATCTATGACGATATCCGGAAAAAACCAGTGGATTCCAACTTCTGCCCCAATGGTGGCCCAGAGGGCCGGGGGGGTCCGATATGGTCCGATTCTTTTCCATGAGGCGGTTTAGAGGCTCCCCCTCTGCTGCGAATTGCTGCGAATGTTCATGCATAGCATTGCATTCTCTCCAACTGGGAAAACCCTGAACATGGGCTCCAAAGGTTCCCCGGTGAAATTCCTTGAAAACAACCCCGAGAGCAAAAGACATGAACAAGCGGCTGTTTCCCATGTGAATCCTTGTTTCTTGTTTACCAGCCAAACAATACCAGAGTCCCGGAAGTATGGGCTCCCGGCCTCACTTTAAGAGCAGAAGACAGACGTGCAACGAGGCCTGTGGGCTTTGTGAATAACGTTTTTGAACGGGATGGTCAATTGTTTGGCGGTCCATGTTGGCTCAAAGCCATGATTTCCGCTTGGGTTTGTGCTTCCCTACTTCACAAGAAGCATTTGCTGTGTAACACAGCAACCACTTGGCGAGGACGATTCCTTGTAAAGGCATGGTGAAGGTCGACCAAGATGTCCACCTGCACATCAACCCACTGAGGTTTGGTGTGTGATACGCCGGACCCTGTGCCGGATGGCTATGTGTGGACGAGCTCTGGCTGGGACTGCCACTTGCTTGCCTTGCCATTGAGTGAGGCAGCCAGGAATGGTTGGGGATCAGGCAGTCAGGCGGCTGCTTCGGCACAATACATTTCTGGCTTGCGGCAATCTGAGAGATGACAAAATCCTTGGCTGAGGAGGATATTGTTTTCAGCGCTACTGTGTCCGGAGGACACCATTTTCTCCATCTAACATTGACTCACCCATGTGCTTCGATGTTTAGCGACGGCGATCTAACTCAATTGGGGACTAGACATATTAGATCTTGGACCGCATGTGCCTTTGTCTCAGGCCCTGATAGAACATCTTCCCCACGAAAGTCGTCCTTTGTGCAATGATTCTGTAATTTTGAAGATATGGTCCCATCAAATATGGCATTCGAGTGGGTAGTGGCAATACCAATATCTCCACCCTTGCTTTTCAACAAATGTCCTCACGCATTTGTTTGTTTGACACTCTCGTGCAACACCGGAACCCAAAGAGGTGATCCAGCTTTCAAAAACAGGGGAAGACTCACATCAGATAGGTCTTTCCTGTGCTTTGTCAACTCATGAAGTTGAGGGTGCGAGTGGCACCCCTCAGGAGAGCCACTTGCATATGGAACTGGGAACCCCCTTGAAGGTCGGCTTGCCGACGTTTCCAGGCGCCGAGCCCCTTAACAACGCGCCTGAGGTGCTGCGGGCTACACCGGCCACGCACGCTTTATTTGCGAAGCGTCAAGTACTGGCTGCGAGGCCATCTCCATGCTCGACGGGTGCAGCTGGGACGGTTCTAGGAATGAGCTTTTGTGGTCAGATTTGATGAGGAGTCGACATGACCAAATGTTGACACGCGCATACACGCATGCAAAGACACATAATCATACACACGCACAAACCCCTTTCCGTGATATATTTACACTCTCGAAGACAACGCAACTTGTCTCAACTTACATGGCTTCATGTGAGTGTGTCAGTGATAAATGTGTGGCACATTGTTGGTTGTAGTTTGCTCACCGTGAACGAGCATGCAATCTAGCATGCACTTTAGCGACTCGTAGTGGAGCAACAGATGGGGATTCGCAGTTCGCGCACGTCCGCGTGATGCAAACATCACACGAGTTGTTTCAAGCCAGCATGCAATTTAGAAGGATTTGTTTGACAGGTACATATCTGACAGGCGGCGCAGGCAAATGACAATGTGAGTCAACAAGACTTTGTGAGGCTTCAAGAACCGCCTGCAGGCACACGCTACTGAGTCAGGAAGTCAGGATGCAGTACTTTGTGACTTTGCAGCATACAAGTATAATATTTATTTGCTCACACAATTGCATATGTAGTGCAGGGACTGAAGCGTAGTTGTGCATGCGTGTTTGTACACGCTCACACGGGCATGCTTTTGCAAATGACACATAGGTTCGTAGGGTACACATTTACCTACCTGCCGACATACCTACGATACCCAAGCATACACATACCTACCTGCCTAACTAATTTCTTGTACCCACAACATGCGCACCTACCTACATACATCTACATACATACCCACTCATTCATACCTACATATCGACATACCATCTGCGAATACGGCTGAACGGATACCCACATACATTCCCGCATTCTTTTGTACATGCATTTCATCGATCAAAACCCACCCACCCACACACAGAGACACACACACACACAGACACACACACACAGACACACAGACAAACACACACACACACACACACACACACACACACACACACACACACACACACACACACACACACACACACACACACACACACACACACACACGCGGACTCGGACTCGGACTCGGACTCGGACTCGGACTCGGACTCGGACTCGGACTCGGACACACACACACACACACACTGACACACTGACACACACACACACACACACGCACGCACGCACGCACGCGCGCGCACACACAGACAGACAGACAGACAGACAGACAGACAGACAGACAGACAGACAGACAGACAGACAGACAGACAGACAGACAGACAGACAGACAGACAGACAGACAGACAGACAGACAGACAGACAGACAGACAGACAGACAGACAGACAGACACAGACAGACAGACAGACAGACAGACAGACAGACAGACAGACAGACAGACAGACAGACAGACAGGCACAGACAGACAGACACACACACCCACCCACATCCACCCACCCACCCACCCACCCACCCACCCACCCACCCACCACCACCACCACGCACGCACCCACGCACGCACGCACGCACGCACGCACGCACGCACGCACGCACGCACGCACGCACGCACGCACGCAACGCACGCACGCACCACGCACGCACGCACGCACGCACGCACGCACGCACGCACCGCACGCACGCACGCACGCACCACGCACGGCACGCACGCACGCACGCACGCCACGCACGCACGCACGCACGCACGGCACGCACGATACGCACGCACGCACGCAACGCACACGCACGCACGCACGCCACCCACCCACACCACACCCGGCACACCACCCACCCCACCCACACCCACCACCACCACACCCACCCCCCCCACCCCACCCACCCACCCACCCACCCACCCACCCACCCACCACCACCCACCCACCCACCCACCCACCCACCCACCCACCCACAACCACCCACCCACCCACCCACCCACCCACCCACCCACCCACCCACCCACCCACCCCACCCACCCACCCACCCACCCAACGCACCCACACACCCACCCACCCACCACCACCCACCCACCCACCCACCCACCCACCCACCCACCCACCCACCCACCCACCACACAACCCACCCACCCACCCACACCCACCACACCCACCCACCACCCACCCACTCCACGCACCCACACGCAGCACTCGCGCGCACGCACGCACTCACGCACGCACGCACGCACGCACGCACGCACGCGCACCCGCGCACCCGCGCACCCGCGCACCCGCGCACCCGCGCACGCGCACGCTCACGCGCACGCGCACGCAAAGGCACGCGCACACGCAAGCACAAACTGAAACTGAAACGCAAACGCAAACGTGCACGCACACGCGCACGCGCCACCGCACACGCACATGCACACGCGCGGACGCGCACCCGCTTGCGCGCGCACATGCACACACACACACACACACACCCACCCACCCACCCACCCACCCACTTACCCACCCACCCACCCACGCACGTACGTCACGCACGCATGCACGCACGCAAGCACGCACGCGACCACCCACCCACACACACACACACAGATACACACACAGACACACACGGAGTAGTATGCCTTTCCTTTCGGTACTGACACAATTCAGCATCATGATTTTTTTCGGTTGCCTAGGCAATGAGGCTCAGCCCTGTGCTGCGCCCAGCTTCCCCCGCTGTGCGCATGTTGATAGCTCCCAGTGTGGGCAATTGGAGCCAACGGAGGCGCGAGCACGGAGGAAGAGGGGTCCCTCGGGAGGCTTTTTGAGTGGAACCCTTTGTTTTTTGTTTTTTAGTGGGTTCCCCGCTAAAGATCCAGAGCGGATTCCCGTCCTCCTTCTCTGTGTCGTTGGGCTACCGGTTGCCACGGCCAAATGTTCTGCAGTGCGGTTTGTGAAGATTTACTGGAATTTAGCAATGTATGGGTACACATGACTGTAGAAAAAGTCAGTTGTAAGTCCGTGGATTCAACCGAGTTTTCAGAGGTCCCTTGTGTCCAACACTGGCCTGTTTTACTTCAAAACGATAAGGAATTAAGATGGAAAACGAGAACGATCGTCAGAAGCAGCCTTGCCACTGGCCAGGACTGCAATCTGACGTGCGTGTCTCCCTTCGTAGGGGAGGCGACCATTGCAAGCTGCCCCTTCGAAACTCGAATGCGATCCGTGAACGCCGCTGGAAGGGTGGAGGCCAGCGACCGCCTTTGGGGCATGTTCTTCAGCTGATCTTGAAGGGTCAGTTCTCGGATAGAGGTCATTGTGTGTGTGCGCGCAGGATATATGTATAGTCTATGTGTAGGATTTTTAGGATATGCAGGTGTGATAGACACATACTTACTTTTATTTGGACCAATGTTCTCTTTGTTTGTGGGGTGGCTAAGTGGGCATCTGGGGCCCACTGTGGTAGAACAAGCGCAATCATTGAGGGGTGCAGGACGATATTAGTCGACTGACATATATTGATCAATATTTTCATGGGGGTTCCCGGTGCAGGAGCCCAGCTCCAGTCGCAACTAGCGAAGTATTCACACAGCAAAGACACTTGACAAGCACAGGGTTGTCAAACAGAGGGCTCCGATTGTGGCCTTTGAAGGAGGCGAGGGATCCCTTGTTGGATCAGCATATTATAGTTGTTGGATCAGCAATTGTAGGGAACACAGTTGTAGAACCGGCTTGCTCAAGAATGACTGGCCCCCCCCGACCTCCAGCTGAAAGCTTGGGATTTGCCCAACAAAGCTCTGTTGCGAGGCTTCTTCGACTGAATCTGAAGGTATATATCTTGTTTTTGTTTTTCGTGTGCAAAACACGACTCAATCTGACTGCAATTTGTGCATATTATAGCGACATCACCAAAGGTTTGGTTTGCGGCCTTTGCCCTTCTTATGGATCCATTTCGTGTTTCGGGTGGGTGAATTCCTGGGTCTGGTTGTTTGAAGGAAATTTGCTCTCAAACTAATATGCTGGAGCACTGGTTGCAATCTAGTTGCCGAGGACAACCAGAACACCTCCAGCTGGCCAGTGCATCAGATGCCTCGCTGTGTGCGGCCCTCCTGCCCGGAGCAGATTCCACCAGGCGTGATTTATGTCTGGGCAAATACTGAAATCACGGTCAAGCCAAAGCCCATGATGAAGGTTCCTGACTTGGTTTGTTTCTTATTTTCAGTTGCGAATCATAGCGATTTGTCCAGAAAGAATGATGCCTATTTATATGGCTTCGGATAGCGCAGTCCATTACATGGCCATGAGTCATGAATATACACAGCCGGAACACCCTGAAACCCGGCTCGTTGAACTATATATGTATAGATAGATATCCCATGATGCCCATCAAAAGGGTCCGAGTTCAATTCATACTCACATGTGATGTGTTACTGGTTGCCAGGCTCAATCAGCAGCCACGATACACGTTAGAGTGAGGTGAGAAGGTCTGATTCCAATCTAGATGTGAGGTGGCACACGAACTGAATTTCTGTGATTGCAGCCAACGTTCAACTCATGATATTTGTGAGCCTCACTGAGGGCCCAATAATTTCTGGGTCATACTCAGACAAGGGTTCAACCACCAGTGTGTGAGTCTTTTGTCTTCTCGTCCCCGTAGCCAAGACCCTCAGCATGCAGGGCCAGGCTTTGGTGTCGCAGGCTACCAGAAGACCCTCCAGGGCTGGCGCTGCGCCCGTGGCTACGCTGGGGAGGTGCGGCAGTCCTGCCACGCCGCGGAGGCCGGGGACGGTTTTGGACGGCGACATACTGTTCATGGACGAAACCACCCATTTGGGAGGGGGGCTATCCCTTGTTAACCCCTCATACGGGCTTTTGAGGGCTTATTCTTGGGATTCCCCATTTAAATTTACACCCAACATACTGTGGATGGACGAAATCCATTTCGCATCACCTGAGAAACGGTATAGAATGATTCGATTCCCCTGTAAATACCAACAAACCATGGTTTCAACCTGGCTTTAACGTGGTGCGAACGGATTTTGTCCATCCACACTAGAAAGACGCAAAGTGAGGGGGTCCTACACCAGTTGGGGCAAGCACTGATGACATAGGTGTCCTTTCAGGGTAAATAGATGGCCCTGGTAGATGATTAAACCACCAGGTAAACCAGGGCCATCTATTTTTCTACCAAAACAACCAAAAGGACACCTATGACTGATCACCAAGCAGAGCCCTTGTCCAAGCCTCAAAGTTCAGGCCGACTGAGAGCTGAGTGATCTGAGGATTGCTGCGAGTCCTTTCTGCGCTTGGAGGGCTGCCGTCCCGTCGTCGGCTGCAAGCTGCCAGAGCACGATGTGCCTAAGCTTGTGGCGCAGTGGGGTGTGGTGTCCAGTTGAGGCAGCTTGTGTCTGTTTCTGGCCAAGGCCAGCGTTTCCTGTGGTTTCAATGGATGCAAAGTAAAGTGCTGCCAAACAGGGGGGTTTTAACAAACTCGTCAAAGGGCATCAATCCTCTCATCAGACCCCTTGTAGCATGTCCTGGGATTCTGACCAGAGTTTGCGGTCTCACAGTCTAAATTTCATAGATAAGTTTAAGGTTGACGATGAAACATCCTCAGAACATATAAGTTTGTCTTGGAGTTGGGAAGTGAAAGAACCCAAACAAAATCGTGTTTTCCTCTTGGCTTCCCCTCAAACCCAAACGGGTCCCGGGGTTTCCCTAGACAAAGACACCCCGTTTGCAGTTTCAATCTCGAGGCTTGCGAGCTGGACTTTTCAGACTGCATGAACATCTCCTCTGGTGAGGAGTGCGAGGTGTTGCTGGGACCCAATGGCTGGATCCGAGCGATTCGAATCGATCAGATGGCTTCCTTCTGTTGCCTCTTCATTGCTCGCTTCTTTTGATTTCTGTGAATTTGGGTTTGTCTGTGTTTTTTGTTTCTGCGAATTTGGGTTTGTTCGCCTGCGACGAGAGTTCAGCGTCTGGCCGACTTGAAGCCAAGGCCCCGCTAATTGTCTCTTCCGGGTATTCGTCTTTGATACTCAGCCAGTCACATGTGATGGCATCAAAAGCACCTCGAGGTAATGCATTCACTCAGCCCGGGTGAAGGCTTAACAATACTCAGACAAGGGAATCATTCATTGAGGCTCATGTCTGCAACAAAGTATGACTTGTCTTCTGCGTGTGCAAGACAACACATTTTTTGACACACAAGACATGGCATAGTCCTCTATACCTTCCTTGGCCTGCACGGCTTAGCCAATTTCTGGCTGACCTTGCCCCTGCCAAACTTGACCCCTTTACAATGCACACACTGCCTCTTGCCAGGTGTGATACAGGTAAGGGTATGGGTAAAATGCACTTTGGCTTCCTCAACATTACCAGTGCCCTGTAGCCCTGTACAAGCAAGAGCAAGCCCACTCTCAATGGTGGCAAGGGCATGATGAGGTTTCAAACTGTGCTGACACTTGGTGCACATAATTCCCTTCCCAAAGGGTTTCCAGCAGTGACCCTGCACAGGGTTAGCAATTGCCCCAGACAGAAGGTCAGCCTTTCTAACCCTTGGCTGCTTAGCAGCCTTAGGCAAGTTGACTGTCAACCAGAGTTTCACTCTTTCTGCCAGAAACTTGTTGAGCTTCCAAGCCCTGCTGTCAATCCAGTCTACAATACCAGGATGTATATGTTGAGCAGCATAATCAACAGCAACAGCTGTGCAAACTGCATCTGCTGCCTCATTTGCTTTCCATGCCCACAGAAGGTCATGTTCCTCTGCTTGCAGAAAGGCAGCTTCTTCCTGGTGAGATTTAACCTTAGTAATCCTGACATCTCTGTGTCTGTGCTCCCAAATGTCCCTCCAAAGGTCATGGTTGGCCAAAGCATCCTTCTGCACACATTGTGGATGTTGGGTGTTCCACCAGCCCTTGCAAACATATTTGGCATCAACAGCAACATGTACCTCATTGGAAGTGGCCTGCAGCAAAGCCAAGAAAGCCCTGGCTTCTGCACAAGGCACAGTGTGCTGATTGGCTTGTCCTGCCAACATTCCTGCAAGAGATCCAACAACATTGTATTGGGAATCCAATGCAACAACACTCCAAGCACAGCGTCTCAACCTGGGGTCATTTGAATGTGGTCCTCCACTCCCATCAGTGCCAAACCAATAAAGACTTCCATCCAGGTCTGCCTGAGTAAACACCCCAGTAGCTTGTACTTCTTCAGTAGGTAGGGCCTGCTGTGTCCACTGAACCGGCACCAGGCCTCTCAACCAAAAGTGCTGTTGCTCCACATCCAAGTGAAAAGGCCACCACATCTCTGGAACTGTACCGTGAGCAGCAATAATCCATTCACACTCATACAGAATGTGCTGTAAGGTGAAAGGCCTTCCACATTTAGGGCAACTTTTGTGTGCACTGTTGCCCTCATGCTGCAAAGCTCCTTGCCACAGAACATGTGCATAGGGTTCCAACCCATGCTTTTGTGCATACTTCAGGAACTTGGCATGGAAGGTTTTGTCAATCCCATTCTCCAAGTGCTGCCCAGCCTGTTGTTTGGAAATAACTGCATACTGAGCCTTCTCAAGGTAGTCTGCAAACACCTCCTTGAGTTCTGCAACAGCCCAAGGATCCTCAAAGTCCAATTTCCACCTTGAAGAATCAGGAGCCTGCCATTCATCCCATGAAGGGGCGTTCCAGCCCATGTCAATAAGAGAAGCCTGAGTGGCTGCCAAAGGGCCTTTTGCAACCATCCAAGGATAGCATCCCGGTTTGGTCAAGGCCTCCCAACTCATTTCCCAAGCCCTCTTGACTGCAGCACTTCCTGTTTTTCCAATAATCCTGACCAGCTCACACCACATGGTAATCTGGCCCAGTCTTACCTTATACAAAGGGTCATCCTGCTTCTTTGCACACATTGCCATTGCAAGCTCAACAGAGCCATGTCCTTTCACCCAGTTGTTGGTTTTTGCAATGGCCAGTCTGAGCCGGTGAAGGGCATTGGTTGGGATACCTTGAGCTTCATGCCCCCAAAGCCCAGCTGCTTGAGCTGACATGTTGACATATCTCTTCCTCTGACCTTTGGGCAACTGCTGTATTGCTTTCAAGCGAGCTCTGGCCTTGGTCAATCTCCCATTTCTTGTACCAACCCTTCTCTTCCTCCCCAGTGTATTGTCAATACCCAGGTCCTTGATGATCTCCTTGACCTCTGGCCAATTTGTCTTGTCCTTCAAAAGCTTCTGCAGTTCAATGGCTGTAGCTGTATCTGAGGCAAGAAATCCAGACTTCTTCATACTGATCTTGCATCCTCTAGCTTCCAACCCTGTGGACAGCTCCTCAAATAAAGAAATGGCCCTCTTTGCTGCTGCACCTGGTGTAAATCCCTGAACATCTCCACCAATGTCATCAATCCAGGTGGTCAATGATTGGGGCTTGCAAAGCCTCTGCACATGTGCCATGAGGGTCCAAAGAACAAGTTTGGCCATGACCACCCCAAATGGACATCCTGCAATAATGCCTCTCTGTGGGAGAATAGGTCTGCTGGCACAATTGCCTGACTGCAAAATTCTGGGCCCTTTATGCACCTGGATACAAAGGCATAGCACCAGAGGGGGAAAACCCAAACTGAGTGCCTCCTTCACCAGCAAATCATGATCAACCAAGTCATAGAAGTTGGTGAGGTCCAATAATACACTGACCTGATGTAAGTGCAAATGTCTTGCCATCTCTCCTCTGAGTAATCTGGTGAGAGCAACCTGCAAGCAAGTATTTCCCTTCACTGCTGCATCCCAGAAAGCAACCTCTTTGTCCTGTAGAAGCCATTGGTCCACCAAATGCTTCCTCATCCTGCACCACAATCGATAAAGAACATGGGAAAGACAAATGGGTCGCTCACATTCCTCATTTTTTGGTAAGAGTGCAACTTGGACTAGCTTGATTTGTTCAGGCCAGCTGCATTGTACTTCAACTTGCTGAAGGATGTAGACCAACCCACTCAAGGCTTCCTTGGGCAAAGCCTTCAGGAATCTAAAGGTGGTTCCATCTGGTCCTCCCTTCTTTGCAGGCACAAACTTGAGGGTCTCCTTGACTTGGGCAGAGCTGATTTGCTTCAGGGTAGTAGCTTCACTGTGGGCCAACTTCAGCAACAAGGGCCACCAATCTCCCTGTATCTCATCTGCAGCATCTGCCTCCCCCCACCTAGCAACCCAGAATTCCCTTCTGCATTCTGGTCTCTCTGATATCATCTGATCTGCAAAGGGCCTGACCCAAATTGCTTCCTGTGCCTTAATGTACTTGAAAGCAGCAGCTCCTTTCCCTGCAACCATGTCCTGAACCGTCTGCTTCCATTGTTGGGCCTTGCTCTGTAGATACATCTTCAACTCCTGGTCTTTGATGTTGGTAACATCCTGGATAAGCTGCTGGAAACAAGCCTCATTGAGCTCCCCAATGTTGGAAAGCATGTACTGCATTTGGTTAGCCGTGTCAAAGTACAAGCCATCCCAACCCTTCCACAGGACTGCAACCTGATTTAGGGAGCCCATGATTTTACAGAACATGACCTGCATCAGCCGCTGGTTCTGCTTGCATTTTTTCCTTTGCATCCTCAGGTATACCTCCAGCCAATGTGCCAGTGGTGCCCATAAAGCCAAATCGGTTTGTTGCCAAAATTCAGCTGGTGCTGTCTGCTCAACAATGGGTCTTTCCTGAATTTGCACTTCAACACCCCTTCCAGTATCACCAACTCCCAAGTCAGTGAGGGTAGCTTGCAAAAAAGCTTCAGCCTGTGCAATCCAATCCCCAAAAGTTTGAGTCAAACCATCTGAATGCTGCCTACCAAGCAAGTGCACCTGAACCTGTTTGGCATATGCCTCCCATGGCAATCTGGGCCCTGGCAGCAGAGGCAGCTCCTTGAAACTGCTCAATTGTGGCATGGTCATGTGACCAATTTGACCTTGCAATGACACCTGCAAGGCAGCATGTGGGCGCCATGGAACATCCCAAATGACCTGTACTTGAAGCACATCTTGCAAACTTTTGGAACAGATTGCATAATCCAAAACGCCCCCTGTTGCAATAGTGGGCTCCTGTGGGTCTATTACACAAGCTTGACAAGCCTGCACAAAACCACTTCCCCATAGCACATCTGGCTCATTGTTCCAATCTCCCACAGCAATCCATGGAATGCTAATTGCAAAGATTAGGCCTCTCAAAGCCCCCAGGATCTCCAGATTTACCTCACACAGTCCTGTACCAGACTTGAGGTAAACTGAAATCACCATAATCTCCACTTTCTGCATTCTGATCATCTGTGCTGACCAGCCACATCCTCCATGCATGTACCTGCCAGCCGCTGCTGAATTTATACCACTTTTGCACCACAGCATGACTCCTCCTGAAGTGCCTCCCTTAGCAGTAGCTTCTGCTGGAAAATTGTTGCCATTCCAACCCTGTCTGCTCATAGTCTTGCAAATCCTCTCAAAATTGTTTCCCTGCTGATGATGTTCACTGACCGCCAATACCTGTGCACCCATGCCAGCCGCCCAACTGCTAATAACAGAATTCCAGGTTGTGACATTTGCACAAAGTATACTGAGGCCTTGTTCCTCCAGGTTGTTACCCCCGCTGCTTTCCCTTCTGATCCTTCTTTGGGTTTGAGCTTCTGCTCTCCTCCTGCTCAGGGCTCCCTGGAAGCACATCATCTGGGTCTTCTGAGGTTTCCATCTCCTCCTCATTCTTCTCAGGCTTCTCAGGCTTCTCTTCTGAAAAGTCCTTTCTCCTTCTTTTCTCCTCACGGTTTTCCCCTGCCAACTGCAAGAGCCTAAGCTTCTGCTCCTCTGACAGGGCTGAGCCCACTGTTCCAAGCACCTCCTGGATAATGTCCCCTGCTGGCAAGTCTGCTGCCTTGAGGTTGAGGGCTGCAACCTTCTCCTCCTCAATCTGCAAAACTTGCACCCAGTACTGCTTGGATGTGTGCTCAACCTTAGCCTGGGCACAGGCTGTCTGATTCTGCAGGGCCTGCATCTGCCTGATCTGCATAGCCAGCAAATCCTTGGTCTTGTCGATCTTGGCCTGCAAAACCAACTTCTTCTGCCCCACCTGCCTGAGGTCATTGGTGGCTGCTTTGAAAGCCTTGGAGATCTGAGCACTGGTCGGGGTCTGCTGTGCCTGCACCACTGGGTCCTCCCCCAAAATGCCTTCAAGCTCCCCCCGAAGCTGATGTGGCAGCTGAGGCCAATGCACCCTGAGAACTGACCTAGCCAGCTTTTTCCACTGCTCCAAGGAATGCCCTTCCCCACTGCCTTCACCGGCAGGCTGACTCGGGGCTTGAATCCTTGGTTCCTGTGGCTCCCAAGGCTCATCTGGCACCCATGCCCATCTCCCTTCTGGTCCTCCTTGGCTGCTACTCCAACCTGCATAGCTGGTCTCCTCCCAAGGATCTGCCACCACCTTCGGTTTTCCCCAGCCTTTCTTTCCTCCTCCTTTGCTCCACCTAGGGCTGTTGCCGCTCCCATGTGCAAGCTGAAGGCCATTGATTGCCCACGAATCATCCCAGGCCCTTCCACACTTCCTGCAATGGGCCTGGTTGTGGATTCTGCTAGCCCACACCCAAGACTGACCCCCACTGCAAGACATACTTGCACAAGTAATAAAGGCATTGGCCGGTGGATCCATGGCCGGTCTCTGATTGCAATCTTGAGCTTGGTATGGCTCCTGCAAGACAACACAGCACGCAAACAACCCCCCGAACCCCCCCACCCCTCTGCCCGAGGAAGCGATGTTTCGCCTGCATTTTCCACGGCAAACGTAGGGCCCTTCCCTTGCAACGAGGCGCCCAGTTCTTGTTTGTTACATCCCGGGCGTGAGTTGGAGGTGCATGGGATTCTGCGGTTTGGGAGATGCATCGACGTTCCTCCTTGCCACTTGAGGTCTGTGTAACCCGTGAGTTCTTTGAGGGTGCCAACCCCACCTGACGGAGTGGCCTTCACCACTCCCGCGGTGCTTTTGGCAACTAGCTTCCCTGTGTGTTTTTTGAGGGTTCCCTTTTTGGGATGGCTTTGAAGGGACACTGAAGGGAAACCGCCCATCTTGGGGTTCCCTCATTTAGAGATAAACACTGCTGTGTGTTTGTTGTTTACTGGGACATGACCTCAACTAAAAGCAAACTTCCAGCTGGATTGAACGCCAGTGACCAGCGATGCAATGCTGCACAGATGTTTTGAAGATGTTCGAAACGCTTTGGTGGTTGTTGGGATAAACCGATAAACCGGTCAAAGAGGAGCAGCTGGCATTTTGTTCCATTTGGGAGTTGGTTTCCCTTAAAGACCGAGCTGCCAACAAAGGTTACCTTGGTTCACGTCCTTGATTGGGGAAGTAATTAGTATTCAGGCAGTACATTGTAAAGTCATGGGTGGCAGCGGGGGTTCATGCAGGACCATACTTGCCTTCGCGGTGGAAGGCATACATTGCAGGTTTGCAGATCGATATCAACTTGCGGAGTCAGGGCAAAGTCGTCATTTGGTTGAGATGGCATGTAAACACGTGGGTTTTTGTTTGGAGCATCCATACCCTGCTCTCCAAACTCACCGCATGCCCCTTCCACATGGGCAAACTGCAGGGGTGTGACACTTGTGGGTGGCCTCAGTGTGTCGGTGGTTGGTCACGGGTTGTTGTCCTATGCAACGAGACTGTCGTTGCATAGGACAACAACCCGTGACCAACCACAGTTTGTGAAGATCCTTCCTATATTTTGCCAAGTCAGGTTTTAGAGAGAGCGTTGCTGGAGCTTCTGGCCGAACCAACATTTCCTCTTCTGCAATCCTTCGGAATGAATTGGCACAAATCGTGCCACCCTACAATTTGAAAAACGAAGCAAACCTCTGAAGGACTCCGAAATTTACATTGCCAAATGGTCCGGTGTGGTCATTTGACGCCCCCCCCCCTTTCCCCCCGCAACAACCCGGTCCGTTTCTCTAGGCGCTGCCGGGCGCCCTTCACGCAGCTCCGCGGCGGCGGGTGGGCGCAGTGCGCGGCGGAGAACACGGAGCTGGGGAAGCTGCTGGACTGGGAGTCCCCCAGCTGCCAGGCCTCCGCTTTCGCGGCCCGATCAGCACGGGCCGCATGGGTTTTAGGTGGGGAAAAAAATGGGCGGGCTACGTGGGAGCCCGTTGCACTGGTGTGCCTTTAAAGTCTGGGGAACAACTGGACTTGATTTGACAAGCCAGGGTACTTGAAAGGAATCACGGCTTCAAAAGGCGACACTTGGCAAGTCAAAGACAGCACCAATGACAGAAGTAGAACTTGTCCGCCGCGCAAGCATGGGACATGATGTCATGATGTCACCTGTCACGCACCCACATTCTGCATTCCAGATGCGTGGCACAATCCGGCTGGTTGAAAATGAGCTCGTCAAAAGTGGAATGCTGCAATTGACACACAACATACAATTTGTATGTCCAAGACCTCAGCATGAGAAGCAAGGAATGCCTCCCTCTGAATAGCTGCGCGTGTGCAGTTTCCCGCCCTGTACCGCGGGCAGCAACGAAGCGCAGCTCCGGCAAACTTTCCCCAAACTGTATGATGTGATACCCAAAAGTGGGTACATTTCCAAGCTGCAGATTCCACCGCCAAGGGCCTGCCCCTTTGAGGCACGACTAAGTTTAAAAGGGCCTTTGGACACGCTCGACTTGAAGCATAAACTTGGCGCAGGGCAATCGGAAAGTGTCTGCTTCAACATTTGGCCACGGCAGAGCAAATCAACGGTTGGCGCTTTAACTCCTTTCCAGCACATCCTCTCGCACAGTGTCAAGTCCAGATTCGCATCACTGATTCGGTGTTTTGAAGAGGACAACCAGGATCAGAGCAATTGCGAAGAAGCCATGCCCGTGTGTTGTTTGTGTTTGTTTTTGGAGGAATCCAAGGCAGTCCAAAAACCCCAGGTTTCTCCGTCTTCTAAAGCTTGGGACCGGGTTGGAGTCTCCTCAACTTCTGTGCCAGATCCTGGCGTGTGAGCGGCCGGCGGAGCCGCCCGCGGGCTATGTCTACAATGGCCTGGCGGAGGAGTGCGCGCCAGGCCAAGCCAGGGATGGTTGAAGCATTTGGAGTCTGGGTGCCTTTAAAGTAATGCTCACTTCCTGAGTTCCTGGACTTTAACACTTTTTGGGGAAGACCGTTTTAGTGGTGAATAATAATTTTAGACTTTTCGGAAGACCATTTTGGTGGTGAATAAAACGTTTAGACTTGTTTTTGGCCCATCCACTCAGGAAGTGAAGTAAGCCACTTGGATTCCTGGAGGGCGGTCGTTCCCCGGGAACCAGCAAGGACAGAATGAGAGGGAGAAGCTTCACACCCGGTGCATTTATACCCCTGATCTGGTATTTCATTGTTGAGGGGATTGGTTCAATTCAGGACCCTTCCTCCCCCACAAAGCACCTGTGAGAGGTTGTCTTGTCTGTTTTGCCACATAGGTCTTGTGGGAGGTTACCTGAAGGATCAACGTCAAGCTATTTCCAGCTACACGTGCGTTTCTGTTGGACCATGTTTGATGTTTTTGTTTTTCCAGGGTGTAATCCCAGGGTCCCGTGGCCCGACTCAGCAAGAAGCTAGCTTCCAATGATGTGCTTCAGTCGGGATTTTTCACGGAGCCAGCCCTCACCTCGTGGGAATCAGCTGCATGCGAAGAAAGTCGTCAGCCTCAACAATTGAGCCAAACGGGCGTGGCCAAAACTTGGCGGAGAAGCCTCCCCAAAGTGGAGAATTTTGGACACCCATCCCCCGCACCGTCAAACAAAATGATGATGGTTTCTCTTTCGGTCTCCCTTTAGACCAACCTTGTGGCACAGGCTACGCTGGCAGCGCGCTGGGCCGCTGTCTCGGCGGGCTGGAGCCACATTGCACACCTCGGCTGAAGGACGGGTTCAGGGTTCAGTCTACGGGAGGTTGGCTATAAATTCAACAGAGTAGACCCCTGAAAAAGTAGTGGACACCAATCCCCACCAGGGTTTTCCAAGGGGTCCCCAATTGGAATTCGTATCCAAATGTTCGGTTCTTTGTTCCGTTTCTGAATTTTGCATGTCCAGTAAAAGTTTACTGTGGCTCACGTGTTAAACAAGTATATTAACCAGGATTGTGTGGCAGGATTGGTCCCACGGTGTGATTTCAGGGAATGGTTGCCCCCGAGGGAAACAGTGAGCAAGCTAAGTCTCAACCTCGCAAAAGGTTTTTGTTTGAGACCTGATACCCCTCAATCAAAGAGGGTTCCATGGTTTGCAGGTTGATATTACAAGCCGCGCGACCAAAATAAGCAACACATGCCATTCCAAGGGTGTTTCGTACCCCTCGTTTACTCGAGCTTGTCAAAGGCAGGAGAGGGTTGCATGGTTGCGGAGAGAATTCGGAGACCCACATTGCTGGCAGATCTCTCTGGCTCCGAACTTCATTGCTTGCATTCACATGCAGGTGTGTCTCTTTCTAGAGGGTCCTCATTCTGTTGTTTCTTGAAAGATAAATCAAAGGACACCCGCCACTTTTGGGGTTCCCCTATTTTGCGACACATCCACCCAAACAAGCTGAAGTAAACTGTGGAGATAGCAATGCCAATGTCCAGTCAAAGGTCGCGTGCTGTTAGATTGTCAGGACTGATGCCTCACTTCTTGAGGCCCCACTTCGGAGGGGGACGCTGTTTTCTTTTCTCCCGAGCCGTCACTGACCTGTTGTTTTGGGTTCATACACCAAGAAGTAACATGGAGCTCAAAAAGCAGGTTGGGGGTTGAAAAATGAAGTGGTACACGGTACCCCACTGTTTGAGCCGCGCAAAAGTCCGCCGGCAGGAACTTTCCGGATGCTCTCCCTTGGTGGACTGCTGTGGCCCCAGCAGGTTTTTGCGGTGAGTGTGCGCACATTGGTTGTCCCTTGTGGGTTCCCTTTAAACCCGAGTACCACCCAAGTTGGCTTGGACCTGTGCAGCAAGGGCCGCAACAAATGTGAAGCAGTGTTGGCAGTTCCAGGATAACGAAGCGGTCATCAAGACTGAGCGGCTTGTGACCATGCCGCAAAGTTGTTTTTGTTTTTTTGTTCCCCCTTTTTTTCTAAGGGGTTCATGACTATGCCCGGCACAAGCTTGACCTTTGGCCATTGTGAAGAAGTTTGACCCTTGGCCATGCGGTTTTGTGAATGATCCCCATGCAACAAGTACATTGCCGCCTTCTCAGTGCGGCACACGTCACTGACTGCCAGATTCAAGCGCAAGCAGAACCTTTTCAAGACTTCGATCAATGCACAAACCAGGCAACCTTGACCCAGTGTTCAACACTTCAAAGGTGATATCCAAGACGCAATTCAAACGCATGTGCTTCTTTTAATCTGTGCCAACCCCTCTCGCCCTCTCGCGCCATGGCTCGGCTATTCAGCGTGGTGGTGTTGGCGGCAGTGTGCTACTGGGCCTACGAGGGATGCTTTGCCAGCGCCCTGGAAATGACTTGCGCGAGGGGCTGTGCCCTTTTTTCCACGGCCTCCTGGAATTTGGAGTTGCAGGGAAGTCTCAAAAACGGTTGCTGGGCATAAATTCCCATGCAAGTGTCAACCAAGACGCCCCACATGACAGTCAAATGTGAAGATGCAGGCACTTTGCACATTCTCAAATGTCGGGTGCCTGTCAAAGGGGTGGGCAGCACCCAAAGTACTGTAAATAACGTGAACATTCTTTTGGGGCGCGGGCTTTGGGAGCAGGGGGTAACATGCACATATATATATATATATAGATCATCGGGTGAGCATCTTTCCCTTTTTGTTGGGTCATTGGAAGTTCCCCTCAGGTTCTGGGAATAAGTCCCACTTTTGTGAGTCCTTATTCTGCCAGAAACCAGTCAACCGCAGCCCTTCAAGCGAAGAATGCAGTGGTGGCAACTCGGGTTGAGCCACATTTTGTGAACCCCCTGTTGTTCAAACAACTTCTTGTTGGTCTTGTTCTTTTGAAACAGGGTTGACAGGCTTGAGAAAACCACAACCCATGGCAGAAACGTATGATTCCCTGGCATGTTGTAGGCTTTAAGCGGCAGAGTTTTCAAGCATCCAAATTAGAGTCCTCGAAAGCTCAGATAGCCCAAGAAAGCAAGAGCCAAACCACAACTAGTGCAAGTAAGTGGTTGCTTTTTTGTCCACCTGTCAGTGTGCATGTGTCTCTCCACCCCCCAACAAATGGGCTTTTCCCCTTCCATTTGCATCTATGAGTACGTATCCAAGTTTCTGAAGACCAGTGCCTATGGAGGTGGCCAAAATAGGTAACAGCAGCAAGTTAGTCAAACCGTTGATGTACCCCGTACACCCGTGACAGATGGTTTTGGTAGCTATGACATATTATCACTCATATACCTTGGTGGCTCCCAGCCATGCCCTTCAATCTTTCGCCTTTCAGTGTTTAGTGGTAGTTTCCAGATAAACCCACTAAACGTTATTCACTTTTCGCGGGGGATCTGAGGGCAGCCCAGATACCTGCATGAATGTTACAAGGCAGCTTGTTTTTCTGCGCCGCAATTGTCACGAGGAATCGCCGGCACTCGCCTGGAAGAGCCACCAGCCACTGAGGCCCAAAACGGGCCCGCGATTTTCCGCGTGTTATTTTCCGGTGAAGAACACATACCGGGTTGACGTTTTACATGTGCGTTGTTGTTTTGGAAGGGACCTTGTTTTGTACAGTGGTCCTGCAATGTTGGTTGGGGATGGATCGTCATCAGCCCTTGGAAGACGTTGATCAGTAAATAGTTGTCGCATGCCAATAGAGGGAGCGGCTACTATCCACACAATCGGAGCGTTTGCCACGGCATGTCTGATCACGGCTTGTTCACTGTGGCATGTCTAAGAATTGCCGTGGTTTTCCAGGCTGATCCTGGTTGCGAGTCCACTCAATTGCCTTGGATACTGGACCATTTGACACCCTCGAAATATGTTTCGATGGGTCTGCCTGCAACTAGGAACAGGCTGTGAATGAGACCCAGGTGGAAGGTGTGAAAGTCCAACTATAAAAAAGTACCCTCAAAGGACACACACACACACACGCACATTGCTTGTTGCGTTTGCCAGATTGGATTCTGGGGGCCGGTTTAATTGCTATGTGGCTTTGTGTCGACGCATCGATTCGAGGGATCGGACAGAGGCAGCAACAGGTTACTTTATGGGTTGGCTTACAAAGCCAACAGGAAAACCACATTCGGGGGTCTCCCTATTTTGACACATCCCCACGTGTCCCTTTTCAGGGGGTTTGAAACATCATCTCTTGTGGAGATTGGTTTGGGGGGAGTGATGAAGAAACCCGCAAACCACTGGGCTGGAAGCCTCGGGATTGCGCAGCTTCGCTGCCACATGTTGCATACGAAATATCCGACATGTGTCCGAGAATTGGGGAAGGCGTCGACTGCTTGATTTACTCGTTTGCTTTCCACAACCGTGCAATAATCATATACTGATTGACACCCATCGCAAGGCAGCCATTGCAGCCTTATAGTGACTAGTAGTGACTATGAGTGGCTATTGATGACTATCAAGGCCCAGTGGCTCTAGAAGTAATCAGAAGCCGTGCGTTGGGAACACGGATGTCTTTAACCACGGGTGTACGTTCATCGAGTCTGCACGCTCTTGTAAGTTTGCCACTTATCACAAAGCAGGGCATGCAATCGTATTTGTCATGTGTGGCTCCCGTTTCCAGCGTGTTTAAACGTTGCCGAAGCTGACTTTGACAGAGGCCATGGAATTTGTCGGGGGGCAGTTTGAGCTAGAGGAGGATCGCCTTTGAAGACACGGCGTTTGACATGCCTTCAGCCAAGGGTTTTAGGTTTTATGGAGGCCCCCTGCCTTTGGTATTTGACGACCACAGGAATCCAGCTGAGTGGAGGGTACCTCATATCGCAACTCAGCCCAAGGGTCCATATATCCCATATGCAGCCCACACCTTTGAGTTTTGGCTCGGGAACACCAGGTCTTATGCACAACCCCAACACACGGGTGATTTCCATGTGTCTTCCCAAAAGGCTACGCTCGAAAACTGGTTCTCCCGGAGTAAGGTTGTGAGGTTGCACGGCGAGGAAGTCTCGAGGCGACAAAGCCCAAATTGAATGCCAGCAAGAACCAGGGGTGTAGATGGCAAATCATAACAGCAATAACAATCCCATCCGGTATCGTGGACTGGATTCTGACACGGGGGGGTGGGGTCGGGTGGGGGATCCTGGTTTGGACAATGCTCATCAATGTTCCTCGAAAGGGGATCATTAGTTCCGTGGCAAGTGGAGCACCTTCTTTAAAGCGGGTACCTGATGTGAAAGGGAAACCTTGTCAAAAACCCGGGAAAAAGGCCAAACCATCAATACACACTATCAGAAAACCATCAGTCACGGCCATGCGATGGCACTTTTCCTTCTACCTTTCAGTTTACCGGTTGCTGATCCACGCCATTTTGGTGTTCTTCAAAATACGGGGATCTGGACCCCAAATAGTGCTACTTTCAACCGGCCTCTGAAACGGGGCTTTCAACAGCAAACCAACACTTTTGTTTTTTTGAAACCAACCATTGTTTTGTTTTGAAATGAACAACAACCATTGGGTTGTTAAAACAACAAACAAAAACGTTGCAATGGGCTGTTCTTAACCTCGCCGATTTGGCCCGCCCTTCAGGAGGTGGAGGCCCCTGCCGCCGCCGCCTGGCTCCGCGCGGCGCGCCGCACTGCCGAAGGCAGACAAGTCCCAAGAGCCTCCGAAAAGGAATGCGGCCGTTTGGACAGGGCTCCTTAAAAGATGCATTTTGCAATCATGTTTTTTTCCACCAAAATAAAGGGAACCACCATTTGCAAGGCAATGTTCAGGTGTATAATGTAAGGATCCCTGTTGGATTTGCATCGTTAGAAAGGGACACCCCTTTTTGCTTGGTCCAGGGAAGCCAAGTTTGAGACTAAACATTTTTTGGGTCTGATTTTGGGGAACCTTGGGACAACTGGAGGCATACCGGCCCAGAACGTCTTGATGCAGCGCTCTTGTGTGGAGGGTGTCTCCCCTTGAAATCATGCACCTTTTTCAAGAGTCCCATGGTACCCTTAGAGGATGGTTTGTTTTGTGGGTTGCAAGGGTTTGAGGCACCTTCTTATAAGGAACTTAGGCCCTTAGTGTTACGGATGAAGAAGCCCCACATATACTGACGGCCGCTCCCCATTTTCCTATCTTGAGTTCAGAGGATTCCCGCATCGCCCAATCCAAATCCCTCAAACAAACCACGTTGTGTTTTATATGCTTCACTCCTCTTGGTCTGTTGATGTCAGACCCAAGTCACGAGATTGGTCTCAGGAACTAAGGCTTTCCCCAGGACTTGGCTTGGTCATTCGCCCAGACTCCCATAGCCTTGCTGTTTCCTCAATCGGCGGCACTCCCAAAGTGGTCAGCCCCAATGGCTTTCCCATACTGTCCTGCAGATGAAGGTGGAGCCCAAGCAACCACAGCTTTAGGAATGAAGGCGTCAAGAAAGAAAGCTAAATTCAATATCGTTAGCGTTAATTTCCCCAACTCAGTATTTCCCTTCTCTTGACCCCACGGGGATCAAAGGTTGGGTTCCAGGCTTTCCTTTCAGACCTCAAAAGGCCAAGACATACCTAAACAAAAGGAAGCAAAAAGAGAATGGGCATCTTGCGCCCCGCCCCATCTCGCCCCACAGGAGTGCTTCTGAAAATTGGCCACCCTAGCTCGGTTTCCTTTAAACCATCTCAGACCAAACTGGTTTGGTTTCCCTTTCAGACTTTTCGTTTCCTTTTCGGTTGTCCAAAACGGGTCCCCCGAGCCGGCGATCGACAGCCCGCCGGCCGCAAGGCAAGAAGGACAGCGGCGCACACTGGGAGGCGGCCTGGGAGATGACGGAGGCCTGGTGGCTGCGACCCGTGGCCTTCTCCGCCACTCGGATCGGATCGAGGATTCTTTTGGCGACCACGAAAAGCCAAAGTCTACGAAACGAGAGGTGTAGTAAATGAGGTCCATGAAATATGTTTATAGATCTAATATCTCTAAATGAAGTCTAATATATGCATGTGTGATAACTTATATTTCACGAGATTCACCATGACCAGACCCTCAAAGTGTCTCAGAATATGCTCGCTTCGACGCGTTGGCATCCGGGAATCACCAACTAAGGAGTTATGACCAACGAGTCAATATTCCGCCCGCTATGCAATGGTGGTATGTTTTAACCCAGTTGAATGGTTTCTGAAAATTGACAAAACCATCTCGGAGATGCTGTGTACTTGTTGCTCCCTCAGTTGTGCTCTCGTTCTGCAGCTGCTGCTCAATCATTTCAGCATTCAGCCACATACATAGGCAGACCGTTTTTCTTACTGACGTGCATGCACACACAAACACAGACACAGACACAAACACAAACACACACTCACACTCACACTCACGCACACACACACACACACTCACACTCACACACAGTACTGCCAAGTGGCCCCCCTTGTTTCAGTCTTAGAATGGTCGTCCTCAATGAAGCTGCTCGTATTTATCAATCTGAAACCGAGGCCGGCAAGAAGCGACTTGACGGTTTGAGCTGTAGTTCTCATGAGCCAATGCCGTTTTCAGGGACAGTCCAGGCCTTTTGTTCGCGCCTTGATGAGTCGATGCAAAAGAACAGAGAGTTTAACGCGATTAGCTGAGGTGAATTTGACGGTTCTTCCTTCTGCGAGGGTACAGAACGCAGAGAGGAAATGGCCCCAATGATTGCTTTTAGTTTGACACTTGCAGCATTTTCCCGTTCTTTTTCGGGCGGTCGCCAGCGTTTCCCCACTTAAAACGGCTTCCCAGCCGTTCTGAGGTGACCGCACTTTTCACGTTGGTGGCCATCATCCAGCAGCTGCCTGGGGCGTATCTCCGCGCCATCATCCCAAAGGCTCGCACCGAGAAGGTGCTGCCTCTGGAGGAGGGGCGGGGTGGGAGGGCTGGGTGCGTGGCAAGTCGGTGTTCCAAGAGGAGCCAGGGGCAGTATGGGTTCTTTTCAATGCGGCGTGGCCAAATTTAGGGAGGCACCTTTTGGATTCCGCAGGTTGTCACTAAGTCCATAGCAATCTGCGGTCCGTTCACGGCACACGGCACGGCGCCCTGAGGGGTATGTTCAGGGTACTCGCGATGGGCGACGTTGCTTAGCATAGCCAAACCTGGATCCAGTGCGGCTGCAAATCCCTAAGCAACGACCCGGATGAAAGGGCTATTGCCTTGTGCCGTCAACCTTGGCATTTCCGGTGTAGCATCAGGTAAAACATGGAGCTGCACAGTAGTAGATGCAAAACTTGAGAAATATTTCAGAGCCAAATCATACGCAGCCCTTGTATACATGACCAACCCATCCCTGTTTGCTGCGCTCCAACGTCTCTAAGCCAAAGCAAGGCCTTTGCTTATACTTTTGGCTAAGTCTTCCTAAATACCAGCGAGGCGGACATTGCGGGCACGGCAGTTCCCAATTATTGGCAAGTCAAAGTGACAAAGTGACCAGAAGATGTGGTGTTCGACCGATTTTGTCCATGAAGGTTCTCCTTTTGAGGATCCCTGATTTGCGCTCGGCGAATTCCAGTAGATTTGAAGCACACGGTGGCTCCCCTCCGTTGCACCGCCGTGCCACCGCCCGCAGGCTGGTCCTAGCAAGGAGCTGCAAGTGGCCAAGTGCCTACGAGCCTTGCAGCGCGTCTCGGGCTGACAAGCATTTTCTATCAAGTGAGTTCTTGCGTTTTTCGGTTAATTTAATAGAACCCTTTTAATTTGGGAGTCGAGCGAGAGACAATAATCCCTTGGAATAGAAATTAGGCGTTCCTTTGTGGTCAAGATTGATTTTGTTCTACTTTGCGGGCACTCCGAATCAAGAATGGCTTTATTGGCAGCGCGAAGCTCGTTTGTGCAACTGTATGCATTGGTTTGAGCCTTTGGCTTCACAGCATCAGTTGCCTTGCTGTTTGGTGTCACTTGTTGAGGCGAAGATGTGGAAGGTTGCAATACGCAAGCTGGGGTATTGTCAGTTTGGCTTTCAGGGCTCTTTGTTTACATTTGGGCCCGACATTTCAATCCTGCAGTGGGGATGGATGAAGCCCATGAACACAGTATGAAGCTACAACAGATATAAGTAAACATAAGCCAACACAATAAGTGAACATAAGCCAACAATCAGAAAAAAAACACATAAGCCAACAAAACTAGATAGATAAACCTCAACCAACCCCAAAAAAGGTCTCCGAAAAGGCTCCTATAGCCTTCGTTGCGAGGCATGGAGCTGCCGGTCTTCGGCACCTCTGCCGCGTGGTCGGAGAAGCTCCAGGGCACCGTGGTGTCGGTGAACCCTCGCCCCGGCGCCCTGGAGGCGGGACCAAGACACCTGCTGGGAAAACGAAGAAACGAAGCAGGGCACCCGAAACCCAACTGGATTTGGTTTGATTTGGTCTTTTTGGAGGGTTCCCTGTTGGTTTGTTCTGTTCCCGCTCAGGGAAACTGTCAGAATCCAAAAATGGTAGAGCGCACACGCACTAAACGGAATCTAGGCGCAAATCTCTCCAGCTCCTTGTGAACAGGCATCGCACACGAATCATTGCCCCATGGTCAAGAGACATTGCTTTGGGATATGGGCATCAAGCCTACTGCATTTCGATCTTGGAAAGCAATTACCATGGGGAGAGTTGGCCATGGCCTCAATGGAAGAGGATTCTCTAGCCGGCAACTTGCAGGCCAACAAAGGACATGTTGCAGTTGGACCAGCCAAACCCTGTTGAAACTGGGGAATCTTCGCCCTGACCTTCACTCCAGGGCACTCGTGTAGACTCTTGTTTGGGTCTGTGACTTGTCTGGTTTGTTGAACAACAAGGCAAGCAAGCAAGCAAGCAAGCAAGCAAGCAAGCAAGCAAGCAGGCAGGCAGGCAGGCAGGCAGGCAGGCAGGCAGGCAGGCAGGCAGGCAGGCAGGCAGGCAGGCAGGCAGGCAGGCAGGCAGGCAGGCAGGCAGGCAGGCAAGGCACAGGCATTTAAAAGACAGTTAGTTAGACAGCCAGACAGCAAGAAAGCCAGCAAGCCAGCGAACAAACAAACAAACAAACAAACAAACAAACAAACAAACAAACAAACAAACACACAAACAAACAAACTGGAGCTTTCCTGCTTTGGTGTCACCATCCCGAGCGAGTCTCTTCGGTTTTTCGTTCAGATGGGATTCGATTTTCCGCCAGGACTGGGAGCAGCGCGTGGAGCCAGTGCAGCAGAGCTTGGAGGAGGCGAGGGATGTCAGTTTCGGGGGGGCGGGGGGGGGGTTAATGGGAACCCCGGATGAATCAAGCCTTGGGTTGATGAATCGGGTGTCCTGGGAACCCCAGACTAATCAACCCTTGGGTTGATTGGTTGATTCATGGGGTGTCCCTTTTTAGTGGGTTTGTTCATCACCTTCTGCAGGAAAAACACCCCCAACTGAATCCGGGGTTCTCATTAAAGCAACCAACATCAAACTCGTTGCTCCAACCGCTACCCGCGTCTCAACACTTGTAGTCATGATAGTGACCTACCAAGTGTGTTGAACGCTACCATAGCCTTGAGGTCTAGGTTTTTGTTTGAATTGGGATGCTAAAATGGTTGGTTTGCTGTTGGCTTCCCTTTCCCTTTGACTACCAGCAAACAAATCCTCAATGTTGGGAAATTCCCATGGGGTCCCCCGAAAATGGATTAGAATTGTTGGTTTGCTTTTAGCTTCCCTTTAAACGCCAGCAGAATAGTTTCTCAAGGAAGAAGCCAAAACTGGTCCCCCCAGAAAAGAAAAGGAAAACAAAAAAACAAGAAACAACAACAAGCAGATCTACAATCAACAAATCGTCAGGTTCAATTCCAAAAGGGTTTGTTTCGCCCTGAAATGGGCACCCTCAAAAGGGTTCCATTGGTTTCTCGCTAAAACAGTTTAATCCTGTGTTCCCAAGGCCCTACTAAATCATGAACCCTAACGATTCCAAGACCCATGCCGATGCCCCAGAACCCGTAGGCAAGGAATTCTCATCATGCGAGGATTGGGGTACGGCCAACACGTATGTTGCAAGTGTCCGTAGAAAGATTAGTTTCCTTTGGTTTCCCTTTAAACCCCTCAACAACGGTTTCTATGCCCCCAGAAGATTTGTCATCATTGGTTAAGTTACGCCAGCAAACAAGTTTTAATCCCCACGTAGGGTTTCCCGTGCAAAGCCTCAACAAAACAGGGGTTCAACTTCGGGTTCCAACTATCCCCCTTTCCTCCAAGTGGGTTTGTCTCAAACTGCAGTAGGTGAATCCCCCCCCAAAAACAAAACAAAAACTACGGTTCCTTGCGGCTTCCCTTTGAAACCATCCAACAAGGGTACCGTCAAAGGGCACGCCGTTTGTTTCCTTTGGGTTTCCTCACGGGAGCAGCCCGTCAGGTCCTGGAGCAGCCAGTCGTGGTGCACCTGCTGCGCCAGAGCCAGGTGGATGGCTGATCCGGTTTGGTTCATTTCTCAGAGCCCTGGGTTGGTCCATTCTTTGTTTGCCATGCAGCCGGTATGCCTCATGTGTACCTTGTTTGTTGTACCTGGGGAGCGGCTGCAGCGTGCCTTTTGGTCCTCACAAGTACTGCAGTTTGATGTGTTCCATGCTGAGGTATTCACGGCACAAGTCCCCAAAGTGGCCGCTCGATGCTCCTTGATCCTTGGGGAATGAAAGAGTCGTACTTGGTCTCCAAGTGGCGATTCATTTATTGGAGCCCGTCCGAAAATTGATAAATTGCTGATTTGGGAAAGTGCGTTCCCGGAGCCGATTCTCATGTTGAGTGGGTTTTGTTTGTGTGATGTTTGAAGCGGCAATGAAATGGAACCCTGTTTGGGAGGCTTGTTTCCGGGGTGTCCGGGAGGGGGCCTGAGAGGGGAGGTTCGGGAGGCCTGACTGGCGACCTCCCATCCGGTGGTTGAGTCAACTCTTGGCACCCCATCGAAACCGACATTGGCAGCTTGAGCTCGCCTAAATGCATGACACATGAAGGTTGCAAACTTTGCAAGCACTGATAGAGCATTGCCCCTGCTACAACAATAAATAAACTACCCGCATGCCACCACCGCAGAAAAGTCGCCAAGCACTGTTGGTCTTCCTTGGTAAGCTCAGAGTAGAAATGTGGCTCCTACCTAAAAGGCTTGAAATCGCTTTAAGTGGGCCACTTGAAGTCCTTGGAGTATAGGCGACACCTTGATGATTTTGATGCCAAATCATTCACAAGGCTTGCAAGTATGGGAAGGCCCCCACCAAAAACACTCCAAGTCTCAGTGGATCTCCCCTTTTGAAAGCGCAAAAGGCCATAGTTACATGACGCAGCGAATTGGGACTGAAGGACTCGAGATCAAGGGGTGCTACGGCTATGATACAAAAGGCGAATCGCGCCCTCAGGAAAATCATCTCGGCTTCGGCTTCTCGCCCTCCAGGAGAAATCCGGCGCCTCCGAATCCTGGGAGCTTCTTGTGACAGAACCCCGGAAAGTGGAGGAAGGCTACATGAACACGCTGCTCTCTTTCGGTGCCTCTGCTCCAGGGCTTGGACATGTAGAGGTCAAGCAACCGGCTTCAACCAAAGAATGCATGATCACATGGTTTGAATCTTGATGTATGCTTGGACAGGCAGCCCCTGGGGGCACGTTGGTCGGCGTCCATGTAGATTGGTGTCGCTACATGTGATTTGCAGAATGCTGATAGGCCAGGTAATCAAATCACGTATGTGGCTCCCATATTGTCTGACGCAGACTCGTGACTAGACTCACAATGAAAGAACATTAGGGGGAGAACCCTGCAGACGCATGCTCAAAATTGCTGCTGAAGCCAGGTTGGCATGAAGCATTTGCACGTTGCCGCAACGTTGATCAGTAGTCAGTTGGTGACTTGATTGAATTTGCAGGTTTGTTGCTGGATCGTTAGATGGTTTTGACGGTTGGGATAGTTGGTCGGTTGGATGACTAGGGGCTGGCGGGCTGGCTGGCTGCGTTGCTCGCTCGCTCGCTGCTTGTTTAATCCGTCCAATGGCTGGCTTTTACATCTCCTGTAATAAGACAGCGGGCGGCAGATTCCCCCAACCCCAGAGAAAGAGAATCACTTGAGGGTCCCTTATTTTGAGACAGCCCCACATCCATCATTTGTGTATTCTCAGAAACAATCGGGTCCCCTTTCGTTTGTATGCTTATAGAGGGGGGTTTCAACGGAAACCACCCTGGAGGTCTCCGAAAGCAAACAAATGCGACACGCCCGCCCAAATATCTATGACAACGCGAATTGTCGGGTTCGCAATTTTCATGACACAACGTGGGGACCCTTGCAGGTGTACCCTGATCTTTCCACATCATAGTCCATATTTTTTGCAACATATAGCCACTATATCCGCCTTTCGCCCTTTTGCCGGGCCAGGGGGGAACTCGGAAATCCGTCCCAGGCGCGGTAGTGGGTGCCGCACAGCTGGTGAGCTCCCTGCGCGTGGGCGCGCCGCTGGCCCCCGTGCTGTTGCTGCTGCTGCTGGCGGAGGCCGCGAAGAGCGCCACGGCGCGGGCGCAGGACACCGAGCTGGGCGCCAGGCGCGGCGATCGGCAGATCGGGGGGTTGGGGCGGGGATGGGAGCTGGAGTCGTTGAATGGAGTCTGTTCTTGTTCTTGGTGGGTGCCATTTTGTTGGGCCTGTTTGAAGGGAAAGTGGGAACTATATTGGAAAACCACCGTTTGTGCTGGTGGTTAAAGTTTGGGGGGGGGGGTCTGAAAATAGGATTCGTCCAGTTGGTTTCCTTGAAATTCCCGCCAACAGGGACCACTTTGCGAGACACTCAGAGAACATTCATGAGATGAGAGCTGCTGTTGATCTATTCCCTTGATTTGTTTTTCCCCAGCTGAAAGCTTTTGCTTTTTCGCCAAAGCTCTGGGGATGTTGGGAGCAGCGTGGCAGAGTTCCAGAGTTCCAGTACCCGTTCTTTCAGCTAGGACCTTGTCAGCGCCCTGTTTCTTAATTTTCCTTGGTTTCCATGCTGGTTGGCTTCTTTCTCTTTGTTTGTGGTTTTTTCTCGGTTTCCCTCCCTTTTTTGCTTTTGCCCTCGGCCAATATCTCGTCTTTTCCCTTGAACTCCCTGGGTTTTCCGGTTGCCTTCGGCTCTTTTCGTGTTTCCCGTGGTCTCCCCGTGGGTTTCCCCGTGGGTTCCCCCCCACCCGCGTGAGGACCTGGGTGCCCTGCCCGCAGCTGGGCGCCCTGGGCCTCTTCAGCGCCTCCGGGGCCTCGCCGAGCCGCGGGGCGCAGCTGCGGCTGGCGCTCAGCGGCCCGGCGGCGCTGGCAGCGCTCGCGCTGCTGCTCTCGGCCTGGGACCGGATCCGGAGAAAAATGGGGGGAGCTTCCCAGTAATATCACATTTGTTTTTTGGTAAGGTGGACCCCGGATAAAAATGGTGGAGAAAAAAGTAGTGGAGGAGCTTGTATTAGTGAGAACTTCTTAGCTCAGTGGTGAAGTCATTAGTGCTTCCAGTTAGCAGTGTATTTGTGGAAGCTGGTTTTGAACATCATCTTTCTGGTCCATCAAAGGGTGTGGGAATTGGGTTTTCGCGTCTTTTCCCAAAATGGATTTCGGCCCTTTTGGTTGGTACTTAAAGGGAGGAAGAGAACACCCCTCAGTAAGGTTGGTGTTCCTTTTGGTTGCCATTGAATCCAGCCCCACAAAGGGTACCCTCAACAAAGGGACAAGCCCATCATTTTGCGTTTGAGAACGGGGGATATTTTTTGGTGGATACCACTATCTCCTTTGTTTAAAGGGAAGACAACGAGAAAACCTGTATTTTGTTGCTGGGTCAGAACAAAATAGGTACGCCGTTTTTGGGGGTACGGGTTCCCTTTGATTGGTGATTCGGGGATTTAAACCCCGGAACTTTTGGAAACAAAGTGGGGAAGGTACACAACCTCCAAACCTCCAAATGAGTGAGGGGTGGCGCCAAAAAAGCTGGGGGTGGCATCCCATCAAGGGTGTTTTTCAGAAACTGTCTATAAGCCACTCCTCTCGTGAGTCTTGTGTCAGAGTATCACCCACGACGATTTGGGTGTGTGCGCACAAACGCTACCTGGAGATTATTCTTTAATGCTTACACATTTTCAGGCAATGGCATCTTGCATATCATATTAAATAGATACAGCATAATATGTATATATATATATACGCATCATTATATATATATATGTATACATACATCATAATATATACATATATATATATATATTGGATGGTATCCTCTGCTTTTGCTTTTGTCGCCGGAGGACTGGGCTCCATCTTGGACCATAGATGTCCACAACACCATGGGCCTCGGCATGTTGACCGGTCTCCAAGGAGTTACTTGGCAAGGAACGGCCATGGAAGCAGGGAAAGCAGAAGCAGCCGGAGTTTGAACGTGGCGAATGGAACATGAGTTTGCCAGGGAGTCATGAAAGGCAGGGAAAAACAATGAACATGTTAAGCGGCAATGTGTGATCGGACATGTGTGATGGATTCAGGCTTCCCGCAAACGTGTGTGAGAGAGTTGTTGAGGGCACCCTTTTCAGGTTGGTTTAAGGGGACGCCAAAAGGAAGCTACACATTTTTAGGGTTCCGAACGAATCAATCAGGATTGAAGGAGCCCACAACAAACACCAAGACACACAGCACCCCTAGCCCCCTCCCTATCTGCGATTCCTTCCGCCCTGGTCCGTGTTCTGCGACTTTAAGTGGTCAGGTGGACAAACCTCAAGGATTCAAGTGCATTGAGTACAGACCAACCAAGAAGTAGTGCATCATTGATGTTGTTTTGTTGAGTTCACTTTGTTGCGCATTGCTTGGACCAGTTTGAGACACTTTTGGAGGTGTTTTCCAACCTGGGTTTGTTCTGGTTTCCTCGTCAATTGAGTTGTATTACCTATACTTTTGTTGTTTTGTTTGTAACATGGAGGTCATCCAGCAATTCTGGGTCCTGAGTTGTTCCTGGAAAACTATTTGAAGATCACTGAGTCGTTTTTGTGCTTTGCCCATGAAGCCAAATCTCCAAACTGTTCTCAAGCAATTTGACGATATCAGGCCTTTCGGACTAGTTGCATGCCCCAATGCGTTCTCTTGGTTGACTTGTGAGTCTCAACTACTTTCCAGTTCTCCCATCATCAAACTAGATCTTCAGGTGAACTTACCCTGCTGACTCGTTTGTCTCAAAAGTAAGGCATCAACCATGTTTCAACCTTCCATTCTTCCTTCCTCTTACCTATAAAGTACAAGCCACACTTTTTCAAGTGCGGATTCAATTGCCCAAGAACCGTATAGAGCCGAAGACGAGACCTTCGCTTTTCGTTTCCTTGGTCTCGAAGCCGAGCGGTGGCCCAATGTGCGTGTGTGAGGAATGCCATGCCACTGCCTTCATCGCTCGACAAGCGCTCCTCATGGCCTCTCAGACTGGGAAGATCAGGGGGAGGGAGGGGAGGCGGCCCAGAAGAAA